TAGGCATAGCTTTCTGTGTGATCAGGAATTGAAATACCGTAAATAATTCTGAGTTGCCTTGATTGGTCTACTTACATGGGAGCAAATACAATTTACTTTTCAGATTTTTCACTTGGGAACTTGACTGATAATGAACCTGAGCCCTCCCATTCTTCACACCCTTGACAACATTAAGCTACATGAACTTCAACTCACAGGATTTCCTACCTAGCCATTGGGGAATCCAGGGAATGGAAGTCCATATGTCTTAAAGTTTCTAAGATTGAAAAACACTGCTCTAGACTTTGAGTTCTCCACATTAAGTGAACATCTCAATGGGATTAGAAAGTATGTGGTATATTCAGCTCTCATACATGGTTGTTTCAGCATAGCTCTTTGCAACGCTCTTTAATGTCTCTTCAATCCTTAATGTTTCTTAATGCAAATTGTTAGAATAAATTCCATTAAGAATAAGCAAGTAGTTTATTCAATAAGAGTAAGTGAAAAATCAGGGCATAAGACAACCGTGGTGGCCCCAGTGGTTATTGGCACATTGGATGATGCCATACGAAAAAATCTTGGTTGGCACTTAGAAAATCTGCACATTGACAGAATATCCATCTGTCAGTTGCAGGTCACAATGCTTGGATCTGCATATATATACTACACTGATCAGAGGTGGTATTCAGCAGGTTCTGACCAGTTCTGGAGGACCAGTAGCGGAAATTTTGAGTAGTTCAGAGAACCGGCAAATACCACCTCTGACTGGAGATTTTACAGTATCCTTTCCCTGCCACGCCCACCAAGCCATGCCCACAGAACCGGTAGTAAAAAATTTTTGAATCGCACCACTGTACACTGATAATATCACAACATCCTAGGTTCCTGGAAAGTATCTGATGCATATGAAGGTGAACACCAGTTAAGTTGGTAGCTGTAACTTCACTTTGTTTTGAACAACTGTAAGAAGTTAGCACCCACCTCCCTTCTAGAAAAATGAAATATCCTGGGAAATGTTAAAAAGGCAGAATATTTCCCCTAAAAAGAGCAAACTCAGAGAAGCAGAAACTTAGCCCCCCCACCTTTGCTAATGGGCCATTAAGGCCTAGGCCAGAGTATTCTACATAATAAAGGGTCTAACCATCTCACCACCTGGCCTGGGAAGATTGTATCAGCCAACACTCAGGTGAAGCCATGTGGTCCACACAAAGCCTACAAAGTTAGCTAAGGCCCCCGCCCCTGGGAGTCTGACAGCCAATGGGATATATTTCTTACACAGGAACAGGAAACACTAAAGTGGGGCCCAACAGAGTTTATATAAGGGTCTCTCAGCATCTTGGTCTTCCCTTCTTGACCTTCTCACCTTGAAGTATGTGATCATCCTTTCTTTTTCACCTTGGAGCTCCAAGCCATGTGGTCCTGCTGTCCACCATTAAACCATCTTTCCAAACAGCCTCCATGTTTCCAGTGTCTTTTGCCCCACTTGGAACTTAACCCAGAAGGATATTTCTTTCAACACAACTAATAATGATGCTATTTTTATGTTCGCATAATTTTTCTTTGGATATCAAATTTTGAACATTTTGTTTGGCAGCTAGATTTTGAATAACTTTCTTAATCTTTTGGGTTTCTTTTTTATTTTTTTATTGTATAATCCATCGATAATCATATGGACAGTATGCCACTGCTGCCTTTGTCACTATGGACAAACATGCCAATATTGTTTCCATATATCTCTCTTTCATGTGCATCTTGACAGCATATTAACATCATCAGTGAAAAGCTCCATTCTTTGGCTGACAGATGGTTCTCTCTGCTCTCTTATCTTCCTGAGACAAAGAAAAAAACAGACACTCTATTTTGACCATTTAAACCACGTAGGGCCTTTGGAGGAAGCTGGTGGATACCTTCAAATGTTCTAGAAGTAGCAAATACATAAATAATAAGGAAATGATTTCTTCAGATTTTGGTGAAAACATGAAACCAAAGACCACTCAGATGTAATTGACCATAAAGTTATTAAAGGCAGAGGCACTGTCTTAAAAGTGAACAGATTATATGTTAAATAAATGCATGCACACTGATCAATGCAGTCCTCCAGCAAGGCTTCTTTAATTTTCTTTTTGGGAAAACCTCCTTTGAAATGAACAAAAGCTGAGCCAGCAACCTCTTGCTATGAGAATCCGGGTGTCAGGTGTGATTTTTCTTCAGCTCAGAGCTTCGCTCAGTTCAGGCAGATCTGTCCTGGGACAGTTGTCCTTGTTAATAGTTGACAATTGCATCGCTCTGCCTTCTGTTTTGTGACAGAACAAGTGGAGTGTTTGGTCTGAGTGATTTACTCATGGGCAAGCCAGAGTTAATAACCTTTAGAAGAAGCTTCAAGAAAAAGGCAACCATGTGGTACGGACAACTCTCGCTTGCTTTTTTTTACCTTGTAGGGAGATGTTTCATTTGTTATTTCTCCCCCTCCCCTCTTCTTCCTTCTGATTCCTAAGCTGATGTGAGAACTTTCAAAACAAGGAGGAACACAGCAGAGAAAGTCTTGCTTCTTTCTTCCCCTTTTCTTTTTTTCTTTTTGGTTTCTTTCAGGCCTTAAAGGAAGACTCCATCCGGTATGTAAAGGAAGAGAATCTCCGCCCGGATTTTTTTTTCCCCTTTCCACACACAATGGAGCTTTCAAGAGAACCTCTTTCCAAAGGAATAGCTCCAGCCTTTGTGTTGAAGGGTGTGCCTATTGGCAAGGCTTGCTAAGCAGACAGCTTGGCTGGTGATTAACAAAGGTCATTAGACTTTGGAATCTGGCAGGCAGAGTCAGATGGTATGTCTTCTGTGGATAGAAGAATGACTCCCATGAGGTTAAAGCACATACTGTGGAAGCCTTTTCTCCTCTCTTTGCTTCTTTTCTTTCTCCCGTTCTCCGTCTGCCTCCCTTTCTTCTATCCATCCTGTCTTAAAATAATAGCAATAGTAATAAGAACCTGGTTGCATTGCTGCTTCTTGCTTTGCTTCAGACCAGGAGGCCACCTGGCCAGACCTTTCTGCTTAAGCAAAGTCTATTATTGATGGATCATTGAGGGTTGTAAGAACCTTCAGAGATATTTTATCCATGGCTTTGTTTAAGGAGAGGAGGGTGGGGGGGAAAGCTGGTTTGATTGCAACCTTGAAGTCTTGGGCATCTATTCTTTCCCCTTCAAAGGGGAAAAAAATTCTGGTTTCTAACCCTGGTCTTGGAAAGCAAAGGAGAAGCTGGAGAATATTCTGTGGTGGAGATGAGGCTGAGATAAGTGAAGCCATGTTGTGTGCAGGCTAGAAGCTCTGAGCCTATCTCTCCCTTACTTAATACATGGCTTGTCTGAGCTAAAATGGCTGCTCTGTCTCTCTCTCTCTCTCTCTCTCTATCCCCCTCTACCTCTCTCTCTCCCTCTTAAAGCTCAGAGGACTAGGACAGCTTAGTGAGTCTTAAAGCGTCAGTGACGCAGGAGCTCATATCTCTTGAAAGTGTGATAAACACATTCAGAGAGCTGTGGCTTGTTTGACTTAGATGAAAAGACTATGCTGGTGGGGGGAGGAGGAGGAAGTTTAAGAAGATGGACAGTGAGAAGATCCGTTTCATTATTTTCTCTCCTGCTTTTTTCTCTGGAGCATTCTGAATTCAAGAAGAGTCGCCTGCTGCACCATGGCAAAAGGGGGGTGGGGGTGGGGGGAGAGAAGAGAAGAGAGATTGTTTTCAGGTCTAATGGACTGTGCAAAAGGAGACTTATGGGGTGGGGCCTCTATGTTCACTGCTGTAATTTGATCCAGAGCAGATAGCAACCTCTTCCACACACAGTCTGATCTGGTGCTTGCACATAAAAGATTTTGAGTCTCCTGATTGTTGTTAACATTGTTAGCTGAAAAGAAGGCAGGGCCAGCATTCAGTCTTTCAGGGCAAAGAGGAAGGTGAAGTGGGGCACCAAGAGATTGCCGTGGGTGTGCGTTTTCTGCTCATTGGGTCCACATTTTTAAAACCATGCCACCGAGAGGAATTTTCTTCTGATGCAGGATCCTGGTAGCGCTGCTTTTTCTTTGTAATATGGCTGAGAGAGTGTTTGGCTTTGAACATTTGATAAACATCACCTCATGTTACATGACAACGAGAAGATGGGATTTTGCTCAAAGCTCATTTGGGCTGCTGTTCCATCTCTTGGTCTGGTGGAGTTCCTAGACTAAATATGACCTGAATTGTGTGAGGAGACTTTAAAATAAGCTGTTCATTAAGGTAATAGCTGCTGGATTAGTCAAAGCTAGCATACAAGTTAGTGTATGAAAATAAGTAGGTATCTTATCCTAGTCTGCTACATATTTTCAACCTATTCAGGTTTGGAATTTCACAATTGTGGCTCTACACATTTAGAAAACTCTAGAGTTGAGACGGGTTATATAAAACAACATTTAATAATAGCTGGTAATATCAAAAGTAATAAACTTGGAAATGGGGAAGTAGCTTAAAGACTTTTTGCTTAAAAGCTTGGACTCGCCATGGGAGATGTGGCGGCTGTACCAATTTAAAACTCAACCAGTTGAACTTAAGCAAGTTGAAGATGTCAGCCTAACAGGGTTGTTAAGAAGGTTAAAATTGGATAAGATATAATATGTGTGCCACGTAAGCTTGGAGGAAGCATGGGATTAAAAGTCTTAAGTAAATAATCTGCTTGGCTTTCTAAAAAATTTTCAACAATAGTTCCCATGCATTTTATTGTTGATGGCTTTCCAACATATGCTTCCTTGTTCTTTAGATGAACAGGTAGAGTGAGAGTAGAAAGGGCAATTGGGCAAGACTTCTGCAGTAATTATGAGTCACATATTTGAATGTATCAAAAGTACATTAGGTCCCAGATTTCTGTAAAAAGAACTGTTACTGTTCTGGTATGCTGTACTTTTTGTGCTTGGAGAATATTTCTTCTCCTATGATGAATCTGCTGCTGTAACAGTTTTGTGAACGGTTCTTATAAGCAATATGTTTCTTCTCCATCTTTTTTCAGGTTTTCCTAATGTAAAGCTTAGCAACAAAGATGGAGGTGCTGCAGTGTGACGGCTGTGATTTTCGAGCACCTTCCTATGAAGATCTTAAAGCTCACATCCAAGATGTTCATACTGCATTTTTGCAGCCCACGGATGTTGCTGAAGAAACTCCTAGCCCATCGAGATTTGGTTCCATAAACAGTGACCAGGCTGAGGTGGAGTATTCTTTGGTAAAAGATGAATTTGCAGTGGCAGATGGGATGGCAGGTAACTTTCTATTTGGATGTCATTCTGACAAGTTATCCCATTGCAGCATTCTCATATAATCATCCTAATTGCCATATCCAAATCTTATGACAGATAAAAATAACCAGGAATTGCTTTGAGGACAACCAACACTTGTGTTACTCAAATTCAACAGGAAGCAACCATACCCTGTGGCTGAGAATGTAGATTCCAAGAAGTATTCATCAAGGAATCTGTTACTTGTTCATCATGGGTTGGTTGAAAAGGGGGGGAAATAGCCACATATAGTAGATTGATCCCCCCAGGGCTGCTAAGTTTTTGATCAGACTTTTTTCTTCTTCTTCTTTTGGTACATTCAGAATTTACAACACAACGTCTAGAAAGCCATTTGTACGTGAAACTCATAGTATGCATGCATTTCAAGATAAATATTTTATGGAACAGCTTAAATAGTTTATCTAGTTGCTAGCGGTCTTTCATTGCTAACAATATTTGAGGGGTGTGTGTGTGTGTCTAAATTGTACTGGAATTTTATCCTTGTTTGTTAACTAGTATTTGGGGGCGGGGGATGGTTAAATTATTTAGAAATAGTATATATGAATTCAGCACTCTAACATTAAAAATGTGTATCTATGTGTATGAATTAATGTTTACATTTCAATTTCAGTTGTGCATTTATTACTAACATTCCCTGGAAGATAGTTGTAAAGGATAAGGTGGTAGGGTGTTGTTGTTCTTTTTTGACATCCTATCTAGTATTTATGAACCAAATACCTTGGGAGGAAAGACAGCTTTGAAGGGGGAAAAGAAAAACAAAGAATAGGCAATGTAATAAGCATACTTCACAGATAATATTTAGTATGTTTTCTTCTTTTATAGGGCAAAATGCAGCTCAGCTGGGAACTGGCAATTACTATAGCCATAGCCAGGGTTATTATGGCCAACATATGCTCTCCAAATCAGCAAGCAAGTTTTTCCAGTGTAAATACTGTGTACGTTATTTCCGATCCAAAAACCTTCTCATAGAACATACCCGGAAAGTCCATGGTGCTCAGACTGGAAGCTCTCCAACTGGATCCACAAGTGCTGGTTCCTTAAACTACAACATCATGATGCACGAAGGCTTTGGGAAGGTATTTTCGTGCCAGTTCTGCACCTACAAATCTCCAAGACGTGCACGGATTATAAAACATCAGAAGATGTACCACAAAAACAGCCTGAAGGAGAGCTCAACCCCTCCTGCTTCTTCAGCTGCTATATCTGAATCAACCTCTACGTCTGTCTCGATGCAGGATTCGTGCAAGGAGCTTCCAGCTGAAGTTGTTGAGCGTAGTATTTTGGAGTCTATGGTCAAGCCTTTAACCAAATCAAGAGGCAACTTCTGCTGTGAATGGTGTACCTACCAGACACCCCGAAGGGAACGTTGGTGTGATCATATGATGAAGAAGCACCGAAGCATGGTGAAAATACTGTCCAACCTGAGGCAGCAACAGGATGGGACCAATATGTCAGATGTTGTAAGCAAGAGTCCCCCAAGCCCTCCCCCAAACTCTAACTATATACCCATGAATGCTTCTGGGCGAGAGATGCCCAACGCAACTGTCCCAAACTACAGGAGTTCAGTAAACAATTCTCTTATCAGGTCCAACGCCTCTTCAAAATTTTCTTCTGCTTCCTATTCTCAGATGAAACATAAGGCTCCTCACAACTCGGGCATTGTTAATTTGTCTGACCGATCTCGTTATGGGGTTGGTGACATGACAAATTCTACTGATCTGGATACCAACAGCATGTTGAATGACTCCAGTTCGGACGATGAGCTCAATGAATTAGACAGCGAGAATGGGTTGAACTCTATGGATCACCAAAGCTCGGGACTAACTGCTGAGCAGCTGATGGGATCTGAGGGCCACAAGTTACTGGAAACCAAGGGGATCCCCTTTAGAAGGTTTATGAATAGGTTCCAGTGCCCTTTCTGCCCTTTCCTTACCATGCATCGGCGAAGCATTTCTCGCCACATTGAAAACATCCACCTCTCTGGAAAGACGGCCGTCTACAAATGTGATGAATGTCCTTTCACCTGCAAGAGCTCTTTCAAGCTTGGTGCTCATAAGCAGTGTCACACCGGTGCAGCATCGGACTGGGATGCCGTGAATTCCCAAACTGAAAGTATAGCTTCTTCTTTAAACGAAAGTACCATATCCTATGAAGGGGGAAACATAAACGGCAGGAAATCCGGGGGGATCATGGATTCCATGCAGCAGCAGCAACAGTCTCCGCAGTCCAATTCGCAGCACCCGTATAAATGCACCATGTGCAATTATTCCACCACGACTTTGAAAGGTCTTCGGGTTCATCAGCAGCACAAGCACTCGTTTTGCGATAACTTGCCAAAATACGAGAGCCCATCAGCAAATACCCTGCAAGACAGCGAGCCCGATGCTCATGCTTCTCCCAGCACTGTGAAGAAAAGCCAGACCTCAATTCTTGGACTGTCTTCTAAAAACAACTTTGTAGCAAAAGCCTCCAGGAAGATGTCCAATGACTTCCCCTTAGATCTGTCCCCAGTCAAGAAAAGAACCAGAATTGACGAGATTGCCAGTAATTTGCAAAGCAAAATCAATCAGAACAAGCAGCAGGAAGATGCAGTCATTAATGTGGAGGATGATGAAGAGGAAGAGGATGACAATGAAGTGGAAATAGAAGTAGAACTGGACAAGGAAGAAGAACAAACAGAACCACTGATGGAAATAGCGGCATTTGCTTCCCAGCAGATATGGGGAAGAGACACAGGTGATCCTCAGAAAGAGCCCAACTACAGGAATATCCCCCATGATTACAGCTCCACCAATGGGGCAGAAATTGAGCTAACTATATCTGAGGATGAGGAAGAATATTATTGTTCTTCGGTGGGTTTGAAGGACCCAGGACTGAATTCATCTATTCTAGGCAGCCAGGTAAGCCTATATGGATCTGATCAAAACAATGAGAATTCAGATTTTGGTGATTCTGGAAGGCTTTATTATTGTAAACACTGTGATTTCAGCAACAAATCTGCCAGGAGTGTTAGCACTCACTACCAACGGATGCATCCCTACATTAAATTCAGCTTTAGGTATATTCTTGATCCCAACGACCACAGTGCAGTGTATAGGTGTCTTGAATGTTACATTGATTATACAAACTTTGAAGATCTGCAACAGCATTATGGGGAGCATCACCCGGAAGCCATGAATGTATTAAATTTCGATCATTCTGATTTGATCTATCGCTGTCGCTTCTGCTCTTACACCAGCCCCAATGTTAGGAGCCTAATGCCGCACTACCAAAGAATGCATCCGACCGTGAAAATTAACAATGCCATGATATTCTCAAGTTACGTAGTGGAGCAACAAGAAGGGTTAAGCTCAGAATCACAAACGCTGAGAGAGATACTGAACTCTGCTCCGAAAAACCTGTCCACTTCGACCCCAGTTGCACGTGGGACTCATGGCATACCTGCTGCTTTTAACAAAAGTTCTTCAAAGGGCAATAGCCCCGAATCTGAAAGCCAAAAAGAGTCAACAGTCAACAGTGTTGTCGTTTATGATTGTGATGTCTGCTCCTTTGCAAGTCCCAACATGCATTCCGTCTTAGTGCATTACCAGAAGAAACATCCCGATGAGAAGGCTTCGTATTTTAGGATTCAAAAAACAATGCGTGTGGTGTCAGTAGAGAGGGGGTCTGCCCTGGCTCAGATGGCTTATGAACTGGGGTCACCTGGCTCTCCCAAAATGTCACCGTTACCACCTCCACCACCTCCAGACCTTACCACGGAGCTTTACTACTGCAAACATTGCTCTTACAGCAACCGGTCAGTGGTTGGGGTACTAGTGCACTACCAGAAAAGGCACCCAGAGATAAAAGTGACTGCCAAATACATTAGGCAGGCACCCCCGACTGCAGCAATGATGAGAGCTGGAGAGATACCTCCTGGTGTTCGTAGACCTGCCGTTTCTATGCAGCACCTGAATAGGGACGGCTCTGATGGTACTGTAGCTCCAGCAGAGAATGAGATGTTCTTCTGCCAGCACTGTGATTATGGAAACCGGACTGTAAAAGGGGTCCTTATTCATTACCAAAAGAAGCATCGTGATTTCAAAGCCAATGCAGATGTAATTAGGCAACACACCGCCACCATCAGGAGCCTCTGTGACCGGGGTCAGAAAAATTCCCCTGGTGGCTTACAAATTCCTACTTCTGGTTCCGAGCAAGAAAGGGCTAAGTTAAGAGCTCTCAAATGCAGGCAGTGCTCTTATACATCTCCTTATTTCTACGCATTGCGGAAGCACATTAAAAAGGACCATCCAAGCTTGAAGGCTACTGTCACATCTATTTTAAGGTGGGCATTTTTGGATGGTTTAATAGAAGCTGGATATCACTGTGAATGGTGTATCTATTCTCACGCGGAGCCCAGTGGCCTGCTTGTGCATTACCAAAGGCGACATCCTGAACATTACGTTGATTACACATATATGGCAACAAAACTCTGGGCAGGGCCAGATCCTTCACCCCCAGCCTTACTAATACCATCAGAAATGAAAATATATAGGTGCAGAGACTGTATTTTTGAAGCCTCTTCCATTTGGGATATCACTAATCACTACCAAGCTTTTCACCCTTGGGCTATGAATGGAGATGAATCGGTGTTACTAGATATTATCAAGGAAAAAGATGCTGTTGATAAAATGAACCCAGTATCTGATGGTATTGGTGCCAGAATAATTTCAGAGGATCATTTAGGATTGCCACAAGGAGACCCAGATACGGAATATGCAGAAGAGTCAAACCTTATCCAAGATAAAGCTCTTCAGCTTACCTCTGTGAATCCTGCAATATCCTCTACGCCGTACCAGTGCACAGTGTGCCAGTCTGAATATAACAATTTGCATGGACTTCTCACCCATTATGGAAAAAAACATCCCGGGATGAAAGTTAAAGCTGCAGATTTTGCACAAGACATTGATATTAATCCAGGAGCGGTGTACAAATGTAGGCATTGTCCTTACATTAACACACGCATTCATGGCGTTCTTACCCATTACCAGAAGAGACATCCTTCTGTGAAGGTTACGGCAGAAGATTTTGTGCATGATGTGGAGCAACCCGCTGATATGAGCCAGAATGACGTGGAGGAAACGAGCAGGATTTTCAAGCAAGGGTATGGTGCTTACAGGTGTAAATTGTGCCCCTACACGCATGGCACTTTGGAGAAGCTCAAAATTCATTATGAGAAATACCATAACCAGCCTGAATTTGATGTATTTGCACAGTCTCCTCCAAAATTCCCTGCCTCCATGGAGCCCGAAGTTCTTGCTGAAATTAAGCCCTCCCCTGAGATGGTCCCAGAAGATCTCCTGGGGGACGATTCACTACCATCATCCCACTTCTCTAGTTCCCATTTGGTTTCTCATACTGTGTTCCGCTGCCAACTTTGTAAGTATTTTTGTTCTACCCGGAAAGGGATAGCTAGGCACTACCGAATAAAACACAACAATGTTCGGGCACAGCCAGAAGGCAAGAACAACCTGTTTAAATGTGCCCTCTGTTCCTACACAAACCCTATTCGTAAAGGTCTGGCTGCGCATTACCAGAAGCGGCATGACATTGATGCTTACTACACACATTGCTTAGCAGCCTCAAGGACTATAAGCGACAAACCCAACAAAGTGATCATCCCCTCACCCCCCAAGGAGGACTCTCCTCAGCTAAGTGAGGAACTGAGAAGGGCAGTGGAGAAGAAGAAATGCTCCCTCTGCTCCTTCCAGTCCTTCAGCAAAAAAGGCATAGTTTCCCACTACATGAAACGCCATCCTGGAGTATTCCCCAAGAAACAGCACGCCAGCAAGCTTGGGGGTTACTTCACTGCGGTGTACGCGGACGAGTATGAAAAACAGCAGCCTCCCCCGGAAGAGAGGAATGATTTTGAGAAGCCCGAAGTGGAGGTGGAGGCTCCAGAGATGGAGTGGCTTCCCTTCCGGTGCGTCAAATGCTTTAAGCTGTCCTTCAGCACGGCCGAGCTGCTCTGCATGCATTACACTGACCACCACAGCAAGGACCTGAAGAGGGATTTTACCATCCTGGGAAGTGGGGCCCGTTTCCAATGCAGGCACTGTGACAGTAAGCTGCAAAGCCTGGCGGAGCTGACCACCCACTTGAACGGCCACAATGAGGAATTCCAGAAACGTGCCAAACGCCAAGAGAGGAGGAAGCAGCTTCTGAGCAAGCAGAAGTATGCGGATGGTGCTTTCGTAGATTTCAAAGCAGAGAGGGTAAGGATCTGATTTTACATTACTTTTTTCCTATTTGATATTATTATTATTTCCTCCTCCTCCACCTCCTCCTCCTCTTCTTCCTCCTCGTCTCTTCTCCTCCTTCCTCTCTACCCTCCTCACTCAGCCAAGGTTACTCATTTCTTATTATTGTCCTCGGTAACTGAAAAGTCACAGGTTCTACAGTCATTGGGTTGTGCCAGTAAGTTCCATACCCATTGTTTCTTGTTTCATTGCTTTCCTCCTTTAGACTCCTGGCATGCCGTTTCATTTCCTCCTCTCCTAACTTTTCATTTCAAAGTGAATTTCTCTTTGAATAAGAAAATCATAGTATCTGTTCCTCTTTCCCCATGTCAAATATATTTCTTGTTCTTGACCAAAAATACCAAGAATGCAAGGAAATAATTGAGAAGAAAATCCAGTACAAAGCCCTTTGTATCTGTGGAAGTAAACCAATCTCTTTAAATGAACTGCATATTATATTAAACCCTTAGTTTGCTTGATGATATATGTGGAAGAACGTGCCTCTTTTGGAAATAGTCAAAGAGTGAATGTCATGTGGAATAAAACTTGCTCTTAGTGGCATTCTGTCATACACAGAGGTGTTTCAGCAAGTTGGTGCTAGAGAGAAAAAGGAAATGATAAATGCGTCTCATTGGATCCAAAACTACTTTCTGGTTTTGCAGGAGAATAATTTTCAAGTGGGATTCCACTTGAAAAATCCCACTAGTGGAATAAAGTCTTAAGACTGATTGTCAGATTAATGGGGATCTGAATATTTTTGGTGAGGGAAGAAATAAGAATATGGCAGATTACAGAAATGATGATGGCTCAGCAATCTGGAAAAAGGATCAAAATGA